AAAATCTATTGTTATCAGTAAAATCTCCATCTGATTTGACCATGCCTAGCTTGTATATAGCTGAGAACACAGATAGGTCAAGTTAATGAAATTTTAAATCATAATCGCACATTCCTCTCCTTTAATAATAGTTTAGTTGTATTTTTAAACAATTTGTAGGTGTCTCTTTGTCATATCTTCTCCACTCGTGACTACTTAAAGCGTAACATATTAAACTGATATTAGGGCACTGGACGATCATTACATTTTCTTATTCACATCCAACAAATTGACATATGTAGTGCCTTGCCAAAAGACACAAAAACTGCACCAATGGAAGTGCTGATTTCTGTTGTACAGTATCTTTGCAAAAAGAAAACAGGTGCAGATCATTCTATAGTACCTTTAGTGATGTTACAGCACGAATTCAAAACATCAAGGTGACATACAGGCAAAAAAAATATCTACAGCATCTAGAAGACAATTTCTAAGTGTTCACCAAGTAACCAAAGCTTTTGTATTGTCCATTTATAAATGTTATCTTTAGCTGATACTTTTATTTTGGGAATCTTACGGAGTTTCTCTGAGTTTGTATCATAAAACAGAGTAGCAAACATCATTTAACATTACTGAACAGAACATTTTGCACTTTAGCTGTAATAAGCATTAAGTATGAAATGAGTACATAGACCCTGCATTCGATTATCCTCTAAGACGGTTTTCTAAGGAAGTTGCCTAGCAAAACGCGGGACACGCCCCTTTTCCTGGGACGCTGCGACTCAGAACTCAGTGGCAGAAAAAGTAGACCAAGCAAGGATTCCAAGTCAGAAGCCAAAATGGCTCCGCCCATTGTGACGTGTAAATATGAAGTGTTTTCATTGTGTTTGGACACTTTGGTGGTTTGAATGACAGTTTCAGTCACTCGTATTAATGCAACACCTTACCACATCCGTATCACGGCCTATGCTTTTGGTAGTCAGGTGTTGTGGTGAGGCGACACGCTACTCTCTGAGTCCGACATGCAAAACATAATAATACGCTTCAAGCTCGGACACGACGTCAAATCCGATTTCCAAATGGGAGTCGGAAGATAATCGAACGCAGGTAAGATTATTCACAGAAGCTAGAATTGAACCACCAACATTCAAGTTTAAAGACAAAAATTTCACGACTGCAACACCGCCATCCCAAATCACATTCACGGAGCCACATTTACACGTAACCTTTAGTGCAGCCTTATGAAATTCCTACCCCAGATCGCTTTGACAAAACAAGACAGTTTGGAGTTTCCTTTAACCTTTCTCCCTGTAGTATCTCACTGGAGGCTCACGTCCACAGACAAGCAGTAATCTTTTTCACCTCACTGCAGCGCCCCCCACAACTCTAATGTCCCAGTGGTTTTGACCCTGGTCCATGAGACAGTGTCAGGGTCCGTGGATGTACCGTCCTGACTCTGAATCACACAAATAAACTTAGGCCTCCTGTAATTATCCCCATGACAAAACATCAGAGTGTGGAGAGAGGAGACTGCTGGGTTTTTGGAGAACTGGCAAACTAAATCAGAGTGCAAACTAGTCTCTTTCCTCACCTACTTTTTAAATTTGGATTTGGAACTGCAAGAATATTGGAGACACAATATGAATCATCGCAATCAGCAAATTATGAAGGTTGGATATTTGATAGTAGGGATGTAACAATAACCAAAATATTTTTATATTATATCGTCAAAGGTCTCACAATAATATCGTGGACCATCACAATATATCAAATTACAAGTCTCTTTGCTTAAATTAAGAGTTATGCTGCAGCAATAGCTAAAAAAGACAGAGGGAACTACATAGACCATGATCCTTTGCTCCATAACAATTGTAAAAGCACTTTTAAGTCTTAGTTTTTTGGATTAAGTCTTAGGCAGTTTAAGAGGAAAAAGTAGCGTATTAACAGTTTTGTTAACCTTCACAAAATATCGCAATAAATATCATACTGTGAGATGCAGATCGTGAAAATATCATACCAAGAGATTTGGCCATCTCTAATCGTGAGCCTCCCCACCAGCTTTCCGATGATATCACAATAAATATCGTACCATGAGGTTCATAGCGTGATGATGTCGTATCTTGAGACATGGATATCGTTAAACCTGTTTGATAGTATAGTAAGAATTATGTCGTACACAAACAACAAAGATATCTTGTTTTTTGGCAGGTTATGATCTTGTTAAAGGTCCTATATTTCGTAAAACTGACATTTGTGAGCGTTAAGACATGTTAGAATGTTGATACCTCCTCAAAAACATCCCTGGGTAACCTTTAGTTCAGTAGAGATCAGCAATTTCAAATTTCAAATTATTCAAGTGAAGGTGTATGGAGTTTAAAAATACAATGGATCACTTCTTGTGACATGACCAAACATTGTGCAACAGAGTTTGATGTTGATGTTGATGCATGTTAAATGTGTCAGTGAAACAAACAACTCCAGGTATGTTTGTGATGAGGAAACACATTATCATATAGATCAGAAAATAGCATCATATGAGCCCTTCAAACAAGATCAAACCAGGACCAAAACAAGTATGAACGCACCAAGAATCTTTCATATCACGATTGAGAACTAATCCAAGTCCAGCTCCACAGATACCAAAATCAAACCCTCAAAAATGACAACAAAAAGTACAATTATTTACATAAACTACCTTCAAAAACAGCTCTGGGAAGGTTTAGCAGTCCTCTATAAAAACATTTTGGAAAGTGCGATGATCCTGCTGCGAGCTACAGATTTGCACCGGTGAGAACTGGCGACAATTAGCACAAACAAGAAAGTTAGCGTTCAAATTCTCACGTTATAGATTTATACCGTCGTTCTAACACCGCAGAGAAGCGAGGGAAGCCTGGGCGCGCGATGGAGAATATAACAGCATTGATGAAGCGTTGGATCACAAGACTGCCACCTCGGTTTTAAAACTTGTGGAAATTCTGCAGGGAATGTGATCCCCGTGAAAAGGGTGTGAAAGATGACTACAGTGAACAGCACATTATAGATGCAGTGGTGTGGATGTAAGGAGCACATGTCTAGTCGGTAATAGCAGATGTACTTTTATTTCAACATGTACTCAAAAGATGTGTGATAACCAGAAGGTGCTAGATTTAGTTATTCAATGGATTTTCAAAGGGCCTATATTAAAGACCCATACACCATTTTCTGATCTATGTTATACTGTTCTTTCCTCATCAAAAACATACCTGGAGTTGTGTTTTTTTCATTCACATTCATTCTCTCAAACAGAAAAAACTGCTCCACTGTGTTTTTAACCTGCGATGACCAGACCTCTTTATTTTTTAACCCTGTCATCTTGAGTTTTAAGCCCTGTGTCCTCTGTCCCACCAGTGATTTGTCCCAGTTTTGTTCAAGAAATGTCCCTATTTTTGACCAATCTGATACCTGCCAACAGTAAAGAAGAGGCATACATTGTCATTTGTTTAGGTAAAATATAGATAAGCTGCTTAAAAATGACCAAAACACACACACACACACACAAAAAAAAAAATCACTATACTCACATTAGTCCTGAGTAAGTCATGAATGGGCTGAGTACAGAAAAGCTTTCCTTAACTGTGCACTCATTTCTGAATTTTATTATTACCAACCGTCTCAAGCCTAGTCAGGCTGGCGCCACCTAGTGCGTCCGCTCAATTTCATTTCTCTCCAGCAACTAGGTCAGGAATCAAAATACCCTAGACTGATCGCAAAAACCCCAGAAGTGCAAGTCTGGGCATCAGTCAATCAGTGAAGAGCTGTACATTATCTGTGTTGTCAACGATTCCCGAGATAGATGATTTAAAACCTGAATAAAGAGAATGTTTGGTGAATTTCATCAAGGGGAAAGATGTTATCATTATTCTTCCTAACAACGAACATGAGCCAGTATAGTCACACTTTCACTGTGCTTTGGTCATTTTACCTAAACAAATGATAATGTATGCCTCTCTTTACTGTTGGCAAGGATCAAATTGGTCAAAAATAGGGACACCTGGGACATTTATTGTATGAAACTGGGACAAATCATTGAGTTTTGATAAATCCACTGGGACAGGGGACACAGGACCCAAAACTGAGACTGTCCTGGGTAAACAGGGACATCTGGTCACCCTAGGCTTGAGGTTATTTGAACGAACGACACTAATGTAGTTAGTCCATTACATAGGCCAAAGCTCAAAGCACACATATGTCAAATTAACAAGTTTTAAAGGGCCTATACTACACACAATGAGTTCTTGTGAGGTTTAAGTCATGTTATAATGCTGTTACCTCATTTTTTTAAAAAATACCTGGAGTTGTGTTTCGTTTCATCACACGTTTGAGTAACCCTGCATGCATTATTAGTCTGTTCACATCTCCAAAGCTCAAAATCCAGATGATTCTAGTGAAGGTGTGTGGAGTTTAAAAACACAGTGGGGCACTTTCTGTTACCAAATGGCATCACAAAAAGAGAAGAACTCAGACTAAATATGCAGGATTTGTGTGTTAAACATGTGTGAATGAAATGAAACACAACTCCAGGTCTGGTACATTATAACTTCGAACAGAAAGTAGTGTAATATTGGCCCTTTAAAATGTTTAATTTAACAAAAAGAAATAAGTATAAGTGCATTTTCTAAGACATTATAATTGAATTGTTTATTTTAACAGATCCATGCATGATTCTTACGTGTTGTCTGCCATCTTGGGGTGTTCCGGACAAAAGAGTCCCGAGAGTGCCGGAGCAACTTAAGAAGGTTCCAGGGCAGACAACTGTGGGCTGAGAAGGAGGGTGTCCAAGCTTTTTTTTAAGCTTTTGAATCTTGTCTGTTATTTACAATTAACACTGCCAAAATAAGAGATATATTAGTATTGGATTTAATTGAATAGCCTCAACATTATCACTGTTTTGCTAAGGTTAACTTTAAAAATATAATTAAACTCACGTGTACTTAAAGGTCAGCTCTGCTCTGTTCCTCTTCAAACTCACTAAAGTTGCTATCTGGGGGATTACAAGCCAAGATTCATTTCCTCTGCAGGCTGGAGACAAGAGGAAATAGAGAGGAGAGAGGTGTGATCCAAGTGACCTGAGTGTGGCTGAACTCAAGTCAACTTTATGCAAATGCGCAGCGATATCACCACGGCAACAACCCCTCAGTGAACACCTTTGGCAGACACTAGGAGGCATTAGTCAAGTCGCTAAACTCACTAATAATTGCCTTGAGCCGTGGTGAAGCACGTACACAGAGCTTCTGATTGGCTGTCCGGTGTGTCACAGAGTGTTCTAATAGGCTCTATTCACGCTTACGTCACAAACCAGGATGACATTTGGAAACGTGTGATGATAACTTCCGGCGGACTCTATTCGCGGTAGTAAGTCTGACTAAATCAAGGAAAAATTAGAAAATGGCCCAGTTTACTTCATCTAAATGTCATTGTAGTGTTCCGTTATGTTCAGCTTATCAACATTTACAATGATACCTCAGTTTTCATCATTTCCCCACTAATGCACAACTCCGAGCGCACTGGGTACATTTGATTAGAAGAGATGAGGTGCCAAATTCAAGATCATTCCAAACAGTACAGATGTATGCAGTCCAGAGTCCTGCATGGGTTAATTTTTGGAGACCCTCACCCACGCAGTACAGCACCACACCCGCTCATTAACTCGTGATTATATCAAAGTTAAATTCGCACCCACCCTGACCTGTTAACATTACACCTGTTCCCCGCCCGTGCTGTGCCCGTGATTAATCACCCACAAATTAAAAGTATTCTGACTGAAGTGCTTTATTTTTTTTTCAATGCGCCTCTCAACGAACAGCGACGCTAAATGAGGACTGAATAGACAGTTTAAATACGCAATATTATAGAGTAAGGAAGCTTTCAGAAATATTTGTGTGCATAGGACAGAAATCCTTGCATATCTGGAAAATCTGTGCATATTTGGCTGTAGTTGTGCATACATAAAATGTATTGTGTTTATTTTATCCATCAGAATACGAATTGAAAAATTACGATGTCAAGAATTATAATCAGGAAATGAAATGAAACAATTAGCTTTCTTCAGTACGAATACAAATTCACAGATGCGACTGTCAAAAGTCCATCATCACTTTACAGGCATTATTTATTGAGCAGAAGAAACAACGGTTGAAATGCCGGACTTTTGCACCGCACACACCACGGATTGAACCAAGACTAAACTAGGACTGAAGTAGGACTAAAACAGAACTTAACCAGAACTGAACCAGGACTGAGTGTGTGCCTGCGTAGACCATCTCCCACACCCTGCTCCTCGGGCTGGGGGTTATCTCTCTCAAGTCCAAGATTAGTCTTGGTTTAGTCCTGGTTTAGTCCTGACCCGCTCACCTACCCACCCGTTAAATTCCAGATTGTTAACCCGTCCGGGTACCCAACCCGGCGCAGGACTCTAATGCAGTCTTCATTTTACTGCTGATCACATTTACTTCAATGGGTTTTATCACAGTCGGTTGGCAAGCCCAGTGTTGGTAACTACATCAGAAGTTGTCATTGCATGTTTCCAAACGTCTTCCTGGTTTGTGACGTAAGCGTTCGGTGTGTCAGGGAGCTGTGCAGCGCCTCTATGCTGATTTTACACTGGACATCACAAGGTTTGAATAACTAGACACACCTTTGTTGTGGATTAATGACATCATAAAAAGTACATTTCAGGAACAAATTAAATGTTTTTAAGATTAAGAATAAGAAAACATTTGCTGTATTTAGGTGATGACAGTTGCTCACATAACAAACACCTGGAGCTGGAGCACTGAAACACACTCCGGCATTTAAGGTTCTATTTTAAGCCAAATTGACTTTTGTAACCTTTAAGCCATGATGCAATCTCAAAAACATGCCCGGAGTTATATTTTGTTTCACACATGTTTGAGAAATCCTTTATTATTAGTCTGTCTGCATCTCCAAAGCTCAAAATGGTCCAACTTTTGATGTCATTAAGTGGTAGTTTTCAAGTTAACAGCTCCCTTTAACCTTTAGTTCAGTAGAGATTGCCAATTCCAGGGCTGAAATGATCCAAATGATTCTAATGAAAGTGTATGGAATTTAAAAACACAGTGGAGAACTTCCTGGGAACAGAGTGTTTTCTGTTTGAGTGAAGTACTCAGCCTAAGTATGCAGGATTTGTGTGTTAAACTTGTGTGAATGAAACAAAACACAACTCCAGGTATGTTTGTGACGAGGAAACATTACTACATAGATCAGAAAATAGCATAATATGGGTTCTTTAAACTGCACAGACTCACACCAGCATGTATCCGAGACTCAATAGAACCATTTTGTAATCACCATCCCCAAAACATGGAGTGTCATGTCTCTACTCCTCCACGATTTCCTGTATTCCAGTGCACAGTTTCTTCTCTGCTGATTTCATTTCATTTTTCTTACACGTAAAACCTCCCTCACTTCTTGTCCTTTCCATGTACCACGTCTTCTTGTGTCTGGAGCGAACTCTCTCTCCGCTCGCAGCTCGTCATTTATCACCGATGAGCACGTCAAAGCCACTTCACATGCAGCAGAGCGCAGCCGCCCAGATTATGCACATTTATGATGAGAGGCACCTGTCTGGCAGTCTAATCTATTCCCCTGTCAGCCGTGTATGAGCTCCTGGTCCTCGTGTCTCCTCTGTCATGTCCCTGTCTCCTCTGTGTCTTTGGTCTTCTGGAGGACCACTCGTCTTACTGGAGAAAAACACAGGCCTGACCTTTGTTCACAGGCTTTGATTCCCGATTCCTCCTCGTGCTTCAGTTGACTTTTTGATGAAGACTACAGGCGCGATGCTGTGTGGTGGTTTTTACACAGTAGCCAAAAGCTTAATAAGAATAGAAAATAAAAAATAGCCACTGTACATACTCAAAAAATTAGAAAATCATGAAAAACTTCTATATTTTTTGTCACTTATTTCATGATTTTCTAATTTTTCTGGGTGTAGTCAGTTCATATGTTTGCTGTTGCCATACAATTTTATCATAGATTAAAAGAAGCACTGTGTAACTTTTCTGTTGGGACGGCCACGTTGTTGTTTCCATGGAGACGTTGCAGCTTCAAAGTCACAGATTGCCTCAAACTGCTGACATTAACAGGTGTATTGGAAGCATTTATAGTGTAATTTTTTGGTATTTTTGCTCTAAAATGTGTATAATAATCAGTCACACAGATTTTGTGGTCTAACACCTTTCAATATTGCAATTACTAGAAAAGGACAGTAGTTATATTACTTTAACATTTTTTAAAACAAGCTTATATCTTGCATCATCTTAGGTTTTCCATCTCAGTGCTCAGCCAATTTGCCTCCTCTGACACTCGCGCTGCCTCTTGATTCCATTAGGGGTCATCAGTTATGGCCGAAACACCACTTCCTGTGATTAAGTGTCCAATTACAAGGCCATTTCGCCGCGACGCCTTCATCCGATGCATTAGAGGGCAGTCCGCTTCACACTGGCCACCACTTTTATTGGTTAAGGCCCATTAGCAAAACAAGATGTATTTTTATAAGAGCAATAGGAAGGGCAATTTGTTATGGAGTTTGGGGCATTATTGACACTAAACAAGAAAATGGAAGAGATGACGCAGATGGATTTACTTTGGCGGCTTTGTACAAGAAAATCCAAATGAAATAAAAATTACTATTTCAAAATTTTTATCTAAAAATTGTTATTAGAATATGGACATTAAGGGTCGTATCTTGCACCCGTCTTAACAAAGCGCTTAACATTTGACTTACGTGACATCGGCGCTGGTGTAAAAGGGCTGTACTTGGGGGCTGGAGTGGGATTGTATTTGTACATGTATGGTGATATATCTGTGACCACTGTGGCATTTAAAATCACTGCCAGTGTAGGTATTGCCTGCAATCTTTGCCTCATTACCAGGCAGCAAAGAGAGGTGTGGAGAAAAGAAGAAAAAACGAGAAAAAAGGAAACTTATATATGGGTACAATAAAACAGCTCAGAAAGTTGTAGCTATATATTTCATTTAACTCTATGAAACCCAACAAAAAAAATACTGGAGTTAACTTTATTTTATATCAAGAGGGCAACATCTTGACCCAAGTTGTTTTTCAACTGGGGCTGGATAAGAAGCATTCAGGGACAATGCAAACTTGGGAGTTCTTGGTTGCAAATGTTCAACAAAGCCCTTTATAATACGCTTTAATGGTCAGTGCCTCTAGTGGGGTGGCACTAGGGGTGGCCAGGGCATTTATAGAGGTGGATGGCTACACTCGTGACAGTTTAATAAAATGAATTAACATTTCTCTGGTGGTAGAGGTGGCTGGTTCTGCTGCTGTAGAGTTGGTACTTTCTTAATCTGGTTGTTTAATTAGTTACAATGTATGGATTTGTGGCTTAGTTATATTCACACTTTTCCTTCCAAAACTTACCAAAACTTTTCCGGTCCTATCCTAATCATGTCAATAGAAAACTCACTATCCCATGACTAACATACATGATTAACACCCCTCATGTAGTGGTCCATGGGCATAATACTAGTCTGTACTTGTTCTCATGCAGCTTAAGATCAGTCTAAAACTATTCAGGAATGAGGCTTTTTTTTTACTATCAATACCTGCTCAAATGAGTATATAGTTTCAATAGGTTTCGATATTTTTTGACAACTGTATAGGTATAAGAAATGACTCATTATAATTTATTTTTAATGTTTATTTTAAAAATTGTTATCAGCATTATTTACAAAAACTCTCATGAGGTGTGAGTATAGGAGTCAGTAATGTCTGAGGGGCCATGGCTGTGTTCAGTGACTGTGTGCCAGTGTTGGTAGTGAAATAAAAGTCATTGGTTTACAGTGGTCTTTAGTAGAGGTGTGGTGGTCTGGTGGGAAGAGGGTAGGGCTGGGTACTGTTTGATTTTTTTTAATACCAGTACTTTAACGATACCTGCTTTTTGATACCTGTTCTTTTTTCAGTGGCTGCATTAAAAAAAAAAATGTATGACCAGCATTATTAAGAAAATGCTTTTCAATCCTCAAACAACGGCCAGAAGTCCCACCCAATAAGGTGAAACTTCCGATTAATGCTAATTCTATGGCAAAATATCTGTGAAACTGTCTTGTGTATTTCCACCATCTTCATAAATCTGACAGCCCCATCACCATATCTTCAGCCAACAAGCTTGACAAAGGACATATTCTGTCCATGAAGAATTTATCCACAACTATCAAGGTAAGAAAGACTAAAGCTTAAAGGAGAACAACGACTAGCATTAGCAAAGCCATACATTTACATCAGCAGGTGCAGGACAAAAGCCCGCAGCATCATGGAAAACTCTGCGCATCCAGCACATGGACTTTTTACTGCTCTCCCATCAAGCAGAAGACTGCGCCACCTTTGGGCCAGAACCACCTTACCTGACAACCTGATGTTGTCAGGTGCATCAATTCTGTCAGAAAGTCCGCACACTAATGCAAGATAGCACTGACTTGGAACGCACTATGGAGAATGGGGACTGTTTTAAAGACTGTATTTAACATACAATATTTTTAACTATTTATTCCTATTATTATTTGTGTGTATTTTGTTTTTGTTTTGTTTGTATGCTGAAATGACAAATAAATTCTGATTCTGAAATACTTCTGAGAAAAACTAATGTAATGGTAATGAATAAAACATAAAACACAACATAAAACAACTTGTTAACTCATTGTCCGTTCAGACCGGAGCATCAAGGTGTCCAGTTTACATGCAAAGTCTATGTGGATGCGGGTCTAGGGCGTCCTGTGTTTTTGCAGAGCGTCTTCAGGCATCAGCTCTGCACAAATCTGGCATCGGCGTCGTAAGTTGAAAATGCTGAACTTCTGGCGTCGGACGCGCTTCGTCAACCAATCAGGGACAACTATCCAGTGACGTAGTGACGTTATTATCCTGAAGAAGGAGAAGAAAGAGAAAGACCCAGGAGCCACAAACACCAGAACAAGAAATCTATGCTGTGTCATTATTATAAATATATACACACTGTAAACCGCCGAGCTGATTACCAAGACTACACCAGGACTGAACCAGAACTGAACCAGAACTGAACCAGTTCTAAACCAGGAATAAACCAGGTCTAAACCAGGAATAAACCAGGACTGGACCAGGAATAAACCAGGAATAAACCAGTGTCATTAGTGGAGAACTGCACAAATTTATCTATTTTTTTATTTTAATTCTAGAATAAGTCTGAGTTAGGAAGTTACTTATTAATGAATGACTCATTACTTAGGTTATTCATTACCATAACGTTAGTTTTGCTCAGAAGTAGGGTTAGTTCGCTAATGCTAGTCGTTGTTCTCCTTTAAGCTTTAATCTTTCTTACCTTGATAGCTGTGGATAAATTCTTCATGGACAGAATATGTCCTTTGTTGACCCTGTTGGATGCAGATTTTGTGGTGGGGCTGGCAGACTTATGAAGTGGAAAATACGCAAGACAGTTCCATAGATATGTTGCCATAGAAAAGCATTAACCGGACGTTCTGCAAAATTACTGGGCGGGACTTCCGGCCGTTGTGAAAAAGATCTGTTACCTTATAACTATGTTAATTCATATTTTAAAACAGCATATACTACTATACAATGTTCAGTTACAGCTCCAAACTAATGCACATGCAAATGAACCAGAGCACACAGCTGATCCTCACATGAACAGACATGGACACACTGTAAAGGCCATGCACTGGAGACATGATGTGTTTTCAGGTGGTTTCACGCTACACATTGTTTCTTCAGCTCTTCTGTTTTACTGGTAAAATGACACACAGAGCTTTGTTTGGCCACATGTAGAACTATGTTAAACGTGAGTGCTGTTTTGTGCCATTCATTTAGGCTGAGCACAGTGGTGACGCGTGAGCACCTGTACTGCTCATCAATCTCTGCGGTGTATGTATTGTTTTCTTTCATTCTTACCGGACCCTTTGGTCGGTTCCTACTTGGAACGGCGTTTCGGTACTCAGCCCTAAAGGAGGGTCCAGCTAAGAGCTGGCGAGCGTCCACCCTGCAACACACAAATAGACATATCAACAGATCAGGCCACTGTGGATGGAGAGGGTTTAGTTGGTGAAGTGTTGGTGCTCTTTCAGAAGGTTGGTGTCTCAAATCCCAAATCTGACATTACTGAAAACACATACAGACGTGGACAAAATTGTTGGTACCCCTCTGGTAATGAAATAAAAATCAACAATGGTCAGTGAAACGACTTGAAACTGAGAAAAACAATAATAATAATAATAATAAGTCATAACCAGTGAAAATCAGACACTGTGTTTGAGTTGTTGTTTAAAAAAAACTGATGGCCTGGACAAACTAATGAAACTGGCCTGGTTTCATTAGTTTGATGATGGTTTCCCTAGAAAAGATTGTAATTAACTGAACAATAGGGACATGTTAAACTTAGGTGTGTCCTCTAATTTGCATCACAGGTGTCTTCAAACTTATCCTCAGTCAGTCTGCCTGTTTGAAGGGGGACATGTGTCATTGTGCTGTTTGGAGACATGATGGATACAACACTGAACATGGACCAGAGAAAGAGAAGAAGAGAACTGTGTCAGGAGACTAGAAAGAAAATGATAGACAAGCAGGTTAAAGATAAAGGCAATAAGAATAAGTTCCTGTGATAACACTTACACATGTTATTCAGAAGTTTAAGGTTCACAGGACTGTAGCCAACCTCCCTGGACGTGGCTGCAAGAGGAGGCTTGGTTATATTCTGGGGCTGTTTTGCTGCATCTGACACAGGGTGTCTGGAATCTGTGCAAAATACAACAGAATCTCCAAACAATCAAGGTATTTTGGAACGAAATGTGTTGCCTAGTGTGCTGAGCTTGGTCTCAGTCGTAAGTAATGGGTTTTCCAGCAAGATAATGACCCAAAACACACAGCAAAAAACACCCAAGAATGGCTAAGAACAAAACATTGGACTGTTCTGGAGTGGTCTTCTGTGAGCCCAGATCTCAATTCTACTGAACATCTGTGAAAGGAGCTGACACATGCTGTCTGGAAAAGGAACCCTTCAAACTTGAGACAACTAGAGCAGTTTGCTCATAAGAAGTGGGTCAAAATACCAGTTGACCAGTGCAGAAGTGTCACTGAAAGTCACTGAAATCATTTGTTTGCAGAGTTTGCCTCAAAAGATAGTGTAACAAAATATTAAGTTAAGGGTACCATCATTTTTGTCCAGGCCAGATTCATTATTTTGTATTTTCTAATGATTCTGTTGAACCACAGGTGAAAAGCAATGTTTGATTTTTGTTGGACAATTTTCAGTAATTTTTTTAAAATTTATTATCACTTTTATCAGTTTCAAGTTATTTCAGTTTGGCGCCAGTCTGTGTGCACTGGTGTGAGAATTTGTGAGTCATTCTTTCATGTAAAGGGCTTTAAGAGCCAGCTGAAGGTAGGTAGATATGTAGCAAAAGCATGTGCGTTCTTTATTCCATAGAGGTTTAGCCAAATTTGATTTTATACTAAGTTAAATTGAAGATGTTACATGAATATTGTGTATACACTTGAGGCCGTGACATTGCCATGTCATGTCATCTTCAGATGGCAGTTTAGGACATGGGGAACCTAAAACCATAATCCCAGGCAAACGTGATTGCCTGGGATTATGGTTTTAGTGAATAAACACTTCTTCAGTTCTTAACAAAAATGTGAGTCTAGTCGCCAGTGAATCTAAGTTCAGATGGGACTCACAAGTAAATTGGCCAACCAGGAACATCTAGCTCATATCAAAACAAATATGGCAGCTTATGAGGAAAAAACAAAAAGAAAACATCACCGGGGACTGAAAAACATTGCAGATTTCTGCAGAAGTAATGAGCGAAGATCAAAACTCTGTTTTGGTGAGCTGATGATCATTGAGCTTCTTTATTTCATATGCGTCACTGAAAGAAAGAAATCTGATTGCACAGTCCTGTTTGGTTCTGGCTCAAGATGAGGTGGAGAGTGTGGAGGCCAGACTGGTATCCCTCTATATAAAATATACAAAGAGATACCATTCTGGATTTGCCAGACAACAGTCACAATCCTCATGGATATGTGCCCTTGAACTGCTAAGCCTTGGTGCATTAAACTAGGCCTTAAAAGTGTATTCTTGGTTTTACTTTTGTCCGTGGCACGCTGATTACAATATCAGCACTGCAACTGGTACTTCAGGGTGCACTGGACACAACCAAGATCCACACTCAAAAAAGAAATGGATTACTCTTCACAATAATCTGAGCTGTTTTTGGAATAACCCTTGTTTGAGCCTAATAAAAAGGGAAACAGTGCAGTCACACCTCCTCTTTAAGCCCTGTATGTGCTGGTAAGACAGAGCCATTACTATAAGTTTAACCAAGGATGGTCTCTGATACTCTGCAGGGACAGGCGTTTTCGAGGGTCCTTCTCCAAGCAGCCCTTCAGCAGGTCTCTGCAGTCTGCATTCACATATACAAGAGGTTAAAGTCAGGAACTGTATCAGTCAAAGTCAAATGTTTGGAGATGCACAGTTACCTGGTGGAAGACAGGTTGAAATTGGAACACTTCTCAGTGAGGTGATGGACACCTCTTTAATCAGGGGCCTTCTTCTGAAGAGCATGACATACAGCACTAAGCCCATCTGCCACGCCGTGGTGGGTCCTGCTGTGTAGTTGTTCTCACGGAACCACTCTGGAGAGGAGTACATTGGAGTGCCTGAAAAACAAACCTATTTAGACTGCTGGTATATTTCATTCAGTAAATGTACAACACATGGATAACTTCATCAGAACTACTTTACCACAACAGTAAAGACTTTGTCAGATACATTTGATCATTCATTAGCAACAGTACAATGTTTACCTTGCGGATTTGTAAACTTTTGTCCAGGTGTGAAAAAGGTGGCATGTCCAAAGTCTATAAACCTGGCTCTGGGGACGTCGGAGCCTGTCTCCAGCAGCACATTCTCAGGCTTGATGTCTCGGTGAAATATGCCTTTAGACTCCAGCTCGATAGCTTCGTCCACCAGCTGACGGAAAATGATCTGAAAAACAGCATTGATGTGTGAAGTTCTCAGTAATTACTATTTTTAGAAAAGTCTGATTTTAGATCCTTACTTTGGCCAAGTCGAGGCTGATGTGTCGTCTTTGGGTCCAGTTCCAAAGGTCCTTACAGGGCACTGGTCTTTCCAGCACCAACACAATCTCCTGGTCCAGCTCATACCAGTCCAGCAGCTGCGGAGTCACTCTGGAGTCTGAGGAGGTGGGGCTTGCTCCTGCCCGAATCAGGACGTAGACCTCCTTAGGAAGTCTGACTGAAGATCCATCCATCTCCTTTGAACAACACAATGAACAGTAGTAAAGATGATGGAGAAATACTTGTATACTTAAAGATACAGAATATATCACTTACCACATCTATGTATGCCACTATATGCTTTCTGATGAATTTGAGAGCCACCTGTAGAGTCAAAATGCGATGTCAGTGTTACTATTAAAAATCACTGTAAATGCTGTTCAAATCTAACCAATTAATGGCTGCTCTTGTTATACTTAAAGCAATGGATTCAAATACATTTGTTAGACTTACTGGTAAGTTGTCCTCAATGCGAACCCCAGCAAAGACAAATCCACATCCTCCTGCCGCCAACATCCTATTCCATTTGTACTCTTTGCACAGCCCTGTAAAAGATTTTGATTTGAATAAAACAGCCTTTACCAAATGATTCCTAAATAGGTAATACAAATTTTTACACTTACTTTCTGCGGGGCTCATGGTGGAGTCTGCTTGGGTTTCCTGCTCCATTTGCTCTATAAGATGTAGGGAGAATGAATGCTATGTCAGTGTCACATTCTTATTATCAGTCATGTTTTTGACAAACACAAACATTGTCCACTGAAACCTTTCCAACTACTTCAGGTTATCACACTATTAGGTACATGGTAAATCTTACAGTAACAAACAAACAATACAAATGCATGCAGTTAAATGTGTAGCTTATATTACCTGACTTACTCCTCGAGACTTTTTTCCAAAGGTCCAGGTCACATTTAAACTTGAATTTCTGTTTCTTCGGAGCATCGTCTGCCTTGCTCGTCTTCCTTGATCTGCTTTGTTCCTCGTCTTCCTGCTCGTCGCATGGAAACCTTCTCTTGGTCCCATTGTTTGGAGATGTGGAGGGACCAATACAGCTTAAGACTCCACTAAGTCCTGGTTTAGAAATGGAGACATCATTGCTACAGCTCGGTGCAGATCTTCTTATCTGCAACATCTCCGCCCACATGTGCTTTTTGATGAGCTCTGTAAAAGATTTAGATTTGAATAAAACAGCCTTTACCGAATTATTTCTAGATACATAATAAACATTGTTACACTTACCTTCTGTGCTGCTCAAGGAGAAGTCTATTTGGGTTTCCAGCTCCATTTGCTCTACAAGATGTAGGGAGAATGAATGCTATGTCAGTGTCACATTCTTATTATCAATAATTTTTTGAGTTTCAGTTTAGTTCTGTGTTGAGATTTACCATTTATCAACAAATTGGTGTCACTGTTGCACTCGTTTTCCCATCTTCCTTCAAATCCACTCTTGTCCATTTTGTATGAGCTGATCCTGGGCTTAGCTGCTCAAAAATAACAAACACAAACAATGTCCACTGAAACCTTTCCTACTATTTCAGGTTGTCACACTGTTAGGTACATGGTAAATCTTACAGTAACAAACAAACAATACAAATGCATGCAGTTAAATGTGTAGGTTATATTACCTGACTTACTCCTCAAGACTTTTTTCCAAAGGGCCAGGTCACATTTCAACTTGAATTTCCGTTTCTTCGGAACATCATCTGCCTTGCTGTTCTTCCTTGATCTGCTTTGTTCCTCGTCTTCCTGCTCGTCGCATGGAGGCCTTCTCTTGGTCCCATTGTTTGGAGATGTGGAGGGACCAATGCAGGGTAAGACTCCACTAAGTCCTGGTTTAGAAATGGAGACATCATTGCTACAGCTCAGTGCAGATCTTATCTGCGACATCTCCGCCCACATGTGCTTTTTGTGGAGCTCTGTAAAAGATTTAGATTTGAACAAAACAGCCTTTACCAAATGGTTTCTAGATATGTAATAAACATTGTTACACTTACCTTCTGTGCTGCTCAAGGTGGAGTCTGTTTGGGTTTCCAGCTCCATTTGCTCTATAAGATGTAGGGAGAATGAATGCTATGTCAGTGTCACATTCTTATTATCAATTCTTTTTTGATGCAGTTTAGTTCTGTGTTGAGATTTACCTTTTATCAACAAACTGGTGTCACTGTTGCACTCGTTTTCCCATCCTCCTTCAGAGCCACTCGTGTCCATTTCGTATGAGCTGATCCTGGGCTTAGCTGCTCAAAAATAACAAACACAAACAATGTCCACTGAAACCTTTCCTACTATTTCAGGTTGTCACACTGTTAGGTGCATGATAAATCTTACAGTAACAAACAAACAATACAAGTTTGTCAATGTGGATAAATGTGTAGGTTATATTACCTGTCTTTTTCAGCCAGACTTTTTTCCAAAGTGCCAGGTCATGTTTAAACTTGAATTTCCATTTCTTCAGAGCATCATCTGTCTTGCTCTTCTTCCTTGAACTGCTTTGTTCCTCGTCCTCCTGCTCGTTGCATGGAGACCTTCTCTTGGTCCCATTGTCTGGAGCCATGGAGGGACCAGGGTAGGTTACGAGTCTACTTGGACTGGACTCATCATTGCTACACCCGGGTTTGTCAGGAGAAGAGTTTGATCCTGAAAATCACATATAACTTTTATTAACAGCAGTAATGACAAACTGTAATGACAGATACAAATAGTTACCCAAAATAAAATGGTTATTGAATCACAATTTCACTAACAATACCAGATTAACAGCACAGTATTCACTTTGTTAACTAAGGTCACTTAGGCTCTTGTTACTTGACAGACTATTGCCTTGTCAAACTATTGTATACATTTTAACTTCAACAAAAACCTTTCCAGTTTGAAGTTACTTTCGCCTTTACTTATATTGCCTTGTCGTAAATATCTTAGCCCAAAAAAGCTATCAAGCTGATGAAGTCATGTCTGTGGTTTCTTTGGGACGCTAATGCTAACAGTTTAAGCTAGTCTGCTTCAAAAGCTGGATAAACGTTAGATAAAAGGTACAGAAAATTTCACATCTCCGCAACTTACCTTGAGTGGGAACGTTTTGATCGGTACAGTTTGGCGTACTGTCCATGCTGAATTTGTATCTGTGTCTTAAAACAATCAGAACAAAATTTGCAGCTAATACTTAGCTCAGATGCTAAAAGCTAACAGCTTATGCACTTATAACGACAATAAATACAATATATTACAAGAGTCTAAAAAGGACCTGTCTGTCTATACAGTCTATACAGTCTCTGACCCAGCCTACTAGAATTTTGAGAGACGTTTCCATGGCAACTGGCATTCTGTTTTTTGATGCAATCATATGTTTATTCTTTGAAAAACAGTGAACAAATATAATACGATTACATAAAAAGAACGCTATATATATATATATATATATATATATATATATATATATATATATATAGTGCTGTCAGGCGATTAAAAAAATTGAGAGATTAATTAATTATGATCTGTAATTAATTAATCTAATTAAACTCTTTTTAATCTCACCTAAAAAATGCTGAGAAAAGCCTTCAACTTGAGGTATTTTCATTTAAATTCATTATTACATTATTATTATTTCATATAAACCATGAACACGCTAGAGCCACATCAGCTTGTTTGAAATTATAATGTGTTTAATGCTGATTTGCGCAACTCTCACAGAAACGAAACTTAAAAACCGCATGGCTAATTTGCATAAACTAAGCGAGAGAAAAAAAAAATGCTCTTGTGTCGCTGATGCGGTTCAGCTTCTGTGGGACTGAAGGACACGACTCAGTGGAATATGAGTGTTCTGACAGAGTGTTGAAGGTGAAGGTGAGTCTGTTCTGTGTTTGTGTCGTGATGTTTTCAGAGATCAGACGTGTGCAGGTTTATCGCAGATGCGGCGAGAACGAGAAAGAAAATCACAATTGTTTGCGGAAGCGATGTGTTATTGTCCCAACAACACATAAAAACAGATTTTATAATAAGGCAACTCGCGTACAGAAACAGCAAAGTTAGAGATTAAAAATGAGATTAACGCGATTAAAAAATATAACGCGCTAAATATGACCGTAATTAATTAATCGCAATTAATGCGATAATTTGACACCCCTAGGCAAGGCAAGGCAAGTTTATTTGTATAGCACAATTCGTACACAAAGTAATTCAAAGTGCTTTACAGAATAAGAAATACATTAAAATCATAATAAAAACAAATCAAAACATAAATAATCATGAAGATTAAAATTAAAAAAGAGAGAAGAGTGCAGAATGAAAACCTTTCAGTTATATGCACAGTTAAACAGAAATGTTTTGAGCCTGGATTTAAACAGCGTCACAGAAGAGTCTGTCTCACATGTTCAGGAAGACTGTTCCAGGTTTTAGCTGCATGAACCTGAAACGCTGACTCCCCTTGTTTAGTTCTGACTCTGGGCACCAGCAGGAGGCCGGTCCCTGAGGTCCTCAGAGTGCGAGATGGTTCATATGACACTAACATGTCACAGATGTACTTTGGTGCTCGGCCATGGAGAGACTTGTACACAAGCAGAGCTGCTTTAAAGTCTATTCTCTGAGGCACAGGAAGCCAGTGCAGAGACCTGAGCACAGGACTTATGTGCTCATACTTCCTAGTTCGAGTAAGGACCCGAGCTGCAGCGTTCTGGATGTTCTGCAGCGTCTCACAGCTCGTTTGGGAGAGACCAGTGAGCAGACCATTACAGTAGTCTAATCCTACTGGAGACAAATGCATGGATAAGTTTCTCCAAGTCTGATTTAGACAGTAAACCTTTGATTTTTGCTATGTTTTTTAGATGGTAAAAGGCTGCAGATGTTATTGATTTTATGTGACTGTTAAAGTTCAAGTCTGAGTCCATTATTACCCCTAGATTTCTTGCCTGATTTGAAGGTTTTAGAGAGAGAGACTGGAGGTGACTGCTGACACTGTCCCTTTGTTTCTGTGGACCAAACACTATGACTTCAGTCTTGTCAGAGTTTAGCTGGAGAAAGTTGTTTTGCATCCACACACTGATCTGTTGGATGCAGTGACCAAGTGAGTCCACTGGTCCATAGTCTCCTGCTGTCCAGAGAGACGTAGATCTGAGTGTCGTCTGCATAATTGTGGTACGACACGTTATTGCTGCTTATTAACTGGCCTAATGGCAGCATGTAGAGATTGAACAACAGGGGGCCCAGGATTGACCCCTGAGGCACCCCACAGGTCAGGGCCATGTCATCTGAGACACAGTTTCCAATTTCAACAAAATACTTCCTGTCTTCTAGATAGGACTTGAACCAGTTTAGTACAGTACCAGAGATGCCCACCCAGTCCTCTAGTCTCTGTAAGAGGATCCCGTGATCGACAGTGTCAAAAGCAGCACTCAGATCTAACAGGATCAAGACTGAGACTTTGCCTGCATCAGTGTTCAGGCGGATGTCATTTGTCACCTTGATAAGAGCAGTCTCAGTGCTGTGGTGGGCTCTAAAACCTGACTGGAAAACATCAAAGGAGTTGTTCATTTGGAGAAAGTTCGTAAGCTGTTGGTAAACAGCTTTTTCAAGGACTTTGCCAAAAAACGGCAGATTTGAGATGGGTCGGAAATTGTTCAGTACTGTGGCATCAAGACTGCTCTTCTTTAGGAGAGGCTTAATGACCGCAGTTTTCA